TTCGTGGTCTCTGGGTCTTCTCTTCAATTTTTAAAAATGTGTCTTCGTTTCTTAGAATTAAAATACACAAATAACGTTTAAAATCATGGAGAGAAGACCCAGAGATAGAAAAATTTTTGAAAAATGTGTTTAAAAATGTACCATTTTGTACCAAATGTCTGTTCTGGCCAATTTTCAAGTTATTTTTCAGCAAATCAAAGCTCAATTTCGTGAAAATATTTTCCTTTACCTTTGCACAGGAACCCGATAAATAAAGAAATGTTTAAATTTCATGTAAAATGTCGATAAATTTTTCACTTTTCAATAAGGCCCAGTTTCTTGCCGAATACTAATCAAAAGCGCCCTCAATCTTTGTTATAGAAGATCTGTTAAGTAGGATTGCTAGTAAAACAAAAGTGTAGGTATTCAAAATGTCTAAAGTTTTGCAATTTTTCACAGAATATTTTGAAATAGAAATGGGATCGGAAAGGAATTTTCAAATACAACATGTATATCTCTAATAGAAACTTCACATTATTCCATTTTTTAAAAACAAACTATTAGTTTTATATTTGATATAACTGGGAATCTGAAGACTCATATGACATATTTTTAAAATCCCTGAGGATTATCCGAGGGGCACCAAATAATTTTTTTGAGTCTGTGCTCTAAAGAGTGACGCCGTTTATAATGGTGTCTGTCAGCATTATTTTGTTTTTCTTTGTACTCGTGAATGAATAGTTGCCGATTGGCAAATCTCCTGGGGTGGGTGGGGGGCAGATTGTTCACCAGCAGCAATACATAATCGGTGGTTAAAATGAAATACATATAAATGGAGAAAAGAACATTTATTCAACCTTAAAGTCCCTTCAAACAATACAAATTATATGGGATATTAAATATATAGGTTGTCGCGAACTTTATATTCTAATTGCATCCATTAGAAATGTCTAGTAAAAGCTAATGTAGACAGTATTGTGTTGTGTTAAATTATGACAACATCGAACGTGAAAATATACATGTACATGTTAATTGGAAATCATACTACAGTATCTAACATATGTAGTGAAGAAGTTATGACATTTGGCGTGTACAAAACTTTAAAAAAAAAAAACGGAAGTCATCAGTATTATTTTTTGCTTCAATATATACATTAATAATTCTGCAAACCCACTGGGGAGGGGAGTCTTATATCGAAAGTCAATTGAAATCACGCTAAAAAAAACTTTCACCGTCTTTTGTGGCACGATCCTATATCCACGGGGTCATTTGAAAATTAACAAGTGTACACTCTGTATTGAAGTCCCACAAAATTGCAATTAGTTCAGTAGTTTAAGAGAGGATTTTTGAAAGATATCATTAATTGTTTCTCTAATTTTAAATAACCTGCCCACTGAATGGTTGCATTCTTTTTTTTTTGAACAAATATTAAATTACTAAACTCAAGGGTGCTTAATGGGAAATTTATTTTGAAATTGGGCCGATGGATCTTGGAAAGAAGAGATAAAGTTCACAAGTGATCTTGTCATATTCATTTTTAGATTTCTTAATTCATCTAAACATTTTGCAGTGTGAAAAACCTTTTTAGATATCAAAATCACATCTTACATATATGTTCTTCAGCATTTTTTTTTTTTTTTGCAGCGAGGTGCAGTTTTTACATATATGCTCTCACTTTTTATTGATTTAGCCGAAAATAGTTTTCAGCTCAATGCAGTGACCATACTTACTTCAAAAGTGAATTTCTTAAGAAGAAGGAAACACGTGCCGTTTTCGCTGATTGTGTGGAAACACGTGCCGTTTTCGCTGATTGTGTGAGTTTTTTTAAATAGCATTTCTAGACTGTTAGATTTATTATTAGTAACCGTATGTTGCTTGACTTATTGAACGCCCCTCGTATATCTAATAAAAATTGGACAGATACAGAATCTTAAAACTCAATAATAATCATGATTATAACAAAACATTTGAAAAAAGTAGTTATGTATCAAAAATGTCTAAAATATGTTCATGAATGTAAGTTCTTATATAGTAGACATGAAAAATGAATATAAAAATAAACATGAATTTAAAATAAAGAATATATTTCAAAGATTTATAATTTATGGTATATTAATCGATGAATATTTTTCTATATTTTTCTGCTAGATTTTTAAAACAAGTAATTAATTTGTATTAAACAGACACAAATATAAATAATAAAAAAACCCCACTTAGAACAAGACTTGTGCGACGTACATTTCTATACAGTAATGAAAAATAGAACGTAAAAGTGACTGATCTTTAGAAAAATATATTTAAAAAATAAAACAATTGAAATATGTGAACAGGGAAAGGAAACTGATTTTTAAAAATGGATTTTTGATCGTTAAGCAACACCTAAGGGAAGCAATCCAGTAAACAAATATATACAAAAATGATTGACAACTACTTGTCAAATTTATTTGCAAAGAAAAGCGCTGTTTCCCATAATTGTTTTGCATATTGTCTGATCTCTTCATCAGATGACTTGATATCAGGTAGAAATGGTACTACAACTACCTCTGTTCTTTCTGAAATCTTCTTACATCGACATGATTTCACTCTATATTCCTTCACTCTAGACACCTCTACACGCAACGTGCGCCAAATTCTTTCTTGAATGTTCAAGGTTTTATTCGAATAAATTTCTGTTTCTTTCTCTCTAATAAATGTTATATTATTGTTGTTAACAATAAATCCTTCGCTATTTTTCCTAATGAGTGCTCCACTTCTGCTATGATTTAGAAGGTCACCGTGTCCTCCGACAGTTTGCAAAGCGTGTCTGTTCAAGTTTCTGAACGACTGAATTTTGCACCTAATGTCAATGGAGTTTCCATCTTCGTTTTCTTGTGTTGTCTTTCGTATTATTTGACCAATAAACCATTTTATCTGAGGGACCTCAAGTTGAAGGAAATGCAGATGATCATCGAGGTCACACATACCCCACCTTCCAATTCTAACTTTTACGTTCCTTTGAACATTTTCTCTATTAAAATAAGCATGTAGAAATCTCTTAAGGTCGTCTGATTCACCCTGCATTGGTAAAAAAGCGAACGAATAAGGCACACAGACGTGACCATTTCCTTGCGTCTCAGATTTAAGACGTTCGCGTCTTTCCTCAAAAGTTTGCAAAGTTTCATTCAATTCTGATAATGGCATGTGTCTTTTCTCTATATCCATGATATAAAATGTCCCAAATGCAAGAACAATGCTCAAATCGCCATGAAAGATGTCACTATATTCATTTCTGATTTTGTCCCACTGTAAGAGAAATGAACTTTGAAAGAAATTCTCACTACATCCATCACTATGGTTTCTAAGACGGGGGTGATACCGCTTCCTGATGGTATGATTGTGTTGGCATAAACCTCTGTGGGGTAGAAATATTACTTCGTCATTTTCTTGTCTACTCCCTTCAAACAACATTGTAAAGGTGCAGGTACCATCGATGGTTGTTTGTCCGCTTTTTGTAGCTGTTATCTTTTTAGATTTTACCGAAAGGTCAAAGAGAGCCTGATTGAGACGCATTAGTTGGATATCTGTTCCAACTGCTTCAATTTTAATACCGTTAATCAATCCAAAATCCAATAAATGAATTGATACATCTTTGCCAGTTATTTTAATTAATTTAAATTTTGCATATTCTTTAGCATATTCGACTGTACTCCAAGACTCCACAGGTAAGATACAAGAAAAATATGTCTCTAACTGGTCGTTTTCTTCACGACAAGAAATGTCCACAGCTGCATGACATGCAATTTCGTGGTATACAACCAAGCACCTCTGAATAATCTCCTCCTCAGTATTTTTTAGCCATTGAAGAGAAGTTCTTGGTATTTCTGAAGGGGCAGATATACTCTGGATATAGCGTCTGATGTTTTTTAAGCAATCAATTAAAATTCTTGTTCTGATATATGACTTGGAAATATCTATGTTATCAAAAGATTTCTTTAGGAGCATAATGGGTAGCATGTCTGCAATGAGGTCCATAGGAATTTTGGTAAGGGTATGTTCCCATAAACATTCAAAGAGAAAATGTGCTACATGCTTTAAAGGTGTAGATTTGTCAAGAAACTCATTCAGTAATTTGCTTTGTGTTAGGATCATTTCATTCACTATCAATGTTATAAATCCTTCCACACCTTCAGCCAATTTGATCTGATAACATAACTCTCCTTCAAAAGGACCACTTTTCACACTAGTTGCAAAACTATTTAAATATTTTATAGTTAAAATTCCTAGTTCTGAATTTTTTGTTCTGATTCCCAAAAAGTGGTGGTTGTCTCGACATCTTATCACAATTCCATTTCCAGATAAATTAATCCATTCTAGACGGACTCCAGAAGGCGTATTTTGTTCAACCTTGTGACGTAATTTGCGTAGCTTATCTAGAGATCTCGTTCGCTCTGTGACCAAAAGTGCCCACCGGCTCTCAAAGGATCGTTCGATATTTTCAAAGACATTCTTAAATTCCTGATTCTTCTTCACCAGACAAAGAATATCGCCAACAACCCAAGGAAAACTTAAAAATCGAGGGCTCGACATTTTGTACGTGACGGTATACCAAATAGAGGCCTTTCTAAATATTTGACTTGCTGATTCAAGTGAAAAACGGCTTCTTTCTCCACCAAACTCTTCAAAGAAAATAACTCTTGTTTTTCTAAATAATAGGGATATTTGGTCACTTACTATCTTTCCAATCTGAATCTTCTCGTCTTCTAAGTAACCTTTCCCACCTGTCAAATCTTGTATCAAACCAGTAATAGCTGCAGATTCGTCTTTTATCCCATATCTTTTCATTATTCTCAACAGTTTGTCATTGTAAAGATTTCTTTGTAAAATTGCATGCCTACATTCTTCTTCGGAAGGAAGCAATATTAAGTCTTCGTCAGCAGCGAAAAAAGTTTTCTCTCTTAATATGTTCTGCTGCAACATCTGATTTTGACGGAATAGTTTTCCGAGAATTCTGGAAGAGTAATATAGGATTTTATCTCTTTTCATCATGAAATCGGGATACTTTTGGGGAAGGAACTCTGTGCGGATTTGTGACTTTTACCCGTTTGTAGACAATCAAGAACGCCAGAATACATTTCAGCTAGTTCAATACAACAGTCTGAAAAAATACCTTCCTGTTCACTATCAGACCTCGCTAAATGGGACTCTGCTATGATTTGTAGGTGATCATTCTTTAAGTAATTCACCAAAAAGTCAGCCATGTTTGTTCCTTGAACATCCGAGGCCAATTTCTCTTTTGAATCATTTTGAGAATTTATCTTGTTTTTAAGTATAAGAAACCGTTTATCCCAAAGAACGAAATACTCATCACCATAAATATCATCTGATGGGGACATTTCATCTCGAAATGGACGTGGACCACATTGTGGAAAAACAATACAGTCGACCACATGCCTGAGGCCAGGAACATCTACAGCTTCAAATATTTGAAGATCTTCTGGATGAATACTGGGATATTTTGTGACCAAGACTTTACCCAATACAATTTGCAGCTTTTTCCCAGCATCAGATGGGTCTTTTGAATATTGAATAAACACTTGTCCATATTTCAGTGATCTACTTTTATCAGAAGTACCGATCATGTTACGGCTTTTATCTACATCTATCTGAATCCTTGTCCTCTGTTTTAAATCATCGAGTCTATGGTGGTAAACTCTTAATAGTAGAGACCTGAAGAAGGGTTCCCGAACAAAACTTATTCCTTTTTCGAATAAATTTTGAAATTTTATGTCCAAAGATATCTGTAAGTTATGAAAAATATGTTAAAATCAACTTAAAATTTAGTATGACTTGTGTACAAGAACAGAACATACAATGGTTGATCATATAGTTTTCATTAAAATAAAGTATAGACACTTGTATGTTAATCTTGTCATACAAAGGTTCATTTCTTTACTGAATTTTAATTTTATTTATCTTTTTTAATAAAAAAAAATGTGTTATAAATTTTCATTTTTTTAAATATTTTTTTCTATTTATTCATATTGAAAAAAACTGTTTTGCTTAGGTTTAGCATGTAAATATCACCGAGGCTAACCTGAAATTGAATTTCAAAATTTTTAGACTTCAGCAAAACATTACCTCTTTCAAAATTGTCAAAGCCTTTTCATCGTAAAGAAGCATGTCCGCCAATTCAAACAACATCGATTCTTGGAGATCCTGGAATGCATCGTCTGGAACCCCAAATCCAGAGAGTAATGATATTATTTGTCGGTTTAAATAAAGTCGTCCTGTAAAATGAATCATTAAAGTATTTTTCAAATAAGTTAATAATAAGCCGATAAATTTCATCGTGAGTACACTCTATGTTTATTTGAGTATAAGTACAACAAACATAAGCATCTCGTGATGTATTACATATAGATTTCAAGAGAACAAAGTTCACTTAGGGCTTTTTGGCACTGTGAATTTCTGGAAAATCAAAGCTGCTTTTTTAGTTGACTAGAAAATACATAGTATACATTTGAATACTTGGTGACTGCATATTGCTTTAAATTGCTCGCAGGAAAATGTATCATGATGTAATGAATTGTATCATTATCATAAAATTCTGATCATGTCCACACTTTTTAGCTGCTTTTTATTTATTTTATTTTTTTTTTTTTGGATATTAATCAAAAAACCTGACCCAAAATGTTCAATTATCAAATAAAAGAACTGTTTCAGAAGATTATAATCCATGTTTATTTTTTCAGATATTTAAATTCTTTGCTAAACATGCTAAATGTATTCAAATGCACCCACTATCTTCAAAATTCAAGAAGAGTGCAATTTCACCGTGCCTTGCTTCAATTTATAGACTTTTAGCTGAAACCTTTTTCTGAGAAAAGTAGGCACTAAAGTCTCTACTTTATATTGATGTTTGAAATGGGATATTGGGACTTGGTTAGATAATTGCTCAATGATTTAATGGACAAAGTGATCCTACCTATTTTATGAGATATATGGAGGATATGGAGATAACGAACAGTATTCAATATCAAAGTCCATAAAAATACAAAATAGGAGCAGAGCAAACACGAACCTCCAAAACATCAGACGTGGGATCAGGTACCATGGAGGAGTGAGCATCCCCTGCCGACCGTTCACACCCGCTCATTGCTCCTTGTCATGATCGGTAAATAACGGAAAATCCGTCATCAATTCAGTTTGTAAATAATGGACTAATAATTAGTATGAAAAACGTCAGCCACAGATCAGCATTTGACTCAGTGATAAATTGTATTTGCTGACAAGGTCATGGTATCGACCATAGAACGTACGAAATGATGACTTTAAACGAGACTGCTGATAGTCTTGTTTCATCAACTTGTTTGTCAATAATATACCTCGTTTTAGAAATTGTTCATAGGTAGAGCGTGCTCTAGCGTAGCGAATCAACTGAGATATGTAAACTCCGTATGCAGGTGATGAAGGTATTGCTGCAGGTAAGGATAGATGACGACAGGAAAGTTAAAGTCATCATGTTTATCATAGAGCTTGGTTGTTAGATTACCATTAATGTCTTTTTCAAGTAAAATATCCAAGTATGAAACAGAAGTGTCAGACTCTGTGGTATCTTTTATCTCAAGATCACCAGGATATATCGTATCGACGTAGGAATGGAAATTACTATTGTTAATTGACAATACGTCGTCGATATATCTAAATGTCGAGTTGAAGGCCACAAGCTCTTTCTTCTTTTCACGCATAAGATTTTGCATAAATTCTGCTTCATATGAATACAAAAATAAGAAAACGAACAGCATTCAATCTCAAGTGTCCATTAAACAATACAAAATTGGAGCAGAGCAAACACGGTCCTCCTTTAAGAATTTCAGTGGTGGAATGTTATTTAAGATAAAGAACAAATGCCTAATAAATAAAGTATTATTGATTTAGTACAAAAGCTTTGTAAAGCAAAGAACAAAAGTAAATACCTGGGTATGATGTCTTTAAAATCTCCAAACATGAAGAACTTGATTGATGTCTTTTCAGACTCTGCCTAATGAATAGAGTTATTCCTTGTTCTAGTAACGGATCTTGTACCACTACACCTTTACATCCATTGTAGTGTATTTGAAAAGCAGACGGTACAGCTTTTATGTTCATTTCTTTTGCTATCTAAATTACAATTTGAAAAAGATATATATATAAGTTCTCTTAAATTTGGTGTCACAATTTTATTATCTAGTTATTACTAAAATTCAGTAATTACCTCGGTAGCTGTTTTGGTTGAGATCTTTCCAATGCAATCTATGAGACAAATCCCACTCATTTGAAATTCTCTATCATAGATCACTTCCTCTGTACATATTTTAGCATCTAACTTGAGGTTATATTCAGAGAAGCTGAGTCCAAAATGCGAAACGTAGGATGCAAAACTCCTCTCTTCAGAGAAGTTACCGTGTTTTTCTCTTATAAAGGCTGCTGTGATCCCATCATGAGAGCTATAGAACCAAAAACCATGCTCTCGAAGTTGTCCATTTGAACATCCTAATAATTCGTAGTGGCGATCATAAATTGTCAAACCTTTATTGAAGAATCGTTTCAAGTCTGCAAAAATGCAATCTAATCCATAGGGCTGCATAGCATTAAGCCTTTTGTAATCCTCATCGCGATATGCAAGCCTTAAGAAGTAATCTTCATTGTACTGGCGTACAATTCCATTCTGAAGTATTGGCTCCTTTGGGAGTAATACACACTTTGAAGGTGTCAACAAAACTCGCCTAACCATTAAATAATGCCGAGGAACATCCTCCTCCTTTAACTGTTTTGTCATTTCAGTCGCTTTCGAAAATTCATCCATGAAATTAATGAATGGTTTTTCTGCAATATTTTCTACCATTATGCACAACATATGCGAACTGACTCCCATTTGAACTATTTTCTCAACGACTGAAGGAGTTAGATGGTCAACAACTTTAAAACCCTGTGAGCACATTGATTTCCATGCATATGCAATTTCAAACCCTTCAAAATCTACCGTAACCTCGTCTTGGCAATTGTCAACCTTCATGCAAGCATAAGCAATGGAAATATCCACACACTGCAAAAAACAACTGATTCTAGAAACAATCGTGCTATTTTTCTTAAACCTTATGCAAAAACAGTCTAAGTGTCCAAACTTTTCATATCCATATTCACTGGCTGGTATTCTTTTTTTGTTCCCTCGTACGAATGAAAGTCTGTATTTTGAAATAATTTTGGTGTAGACTTCACATTGATGTAGAAAATTGTTTCACTTTCTTGTAAATCAACTATAATAAAGTTGTGGAGAAAGTTATACCACATGTTTATTTCCATCTTAATTTCAGAGTTTGCAATGACCAACAAAGACTTGTCCTGTTGAAATTTGCAACGGATGCAACTGTTTCCCAGTGCCTTACAAAATTAATCGGAGAGATCATGCTTCCACCAAGAATTTCAACCTTTTCTAAAATTTCTCGTGACTGTTGGGGAGACATGCAAGATAGTCTTTTTCTTGGAAGAAGTTGCAACCAAGACATACTTTCTATCGATCGTAGATTTATCTCCCATAGTTTTAAGACTTCCGACAACACCAGTGCATTATCCATTGACGATTCAAAGATCACATTATACGAGATCTTATGGTCAGCATAGGTATGGATGTCATCTAAAGAAATATAAACATAAGACTTAAAATAACCTAATAATTGTACTAAACGTTCATGTACATGTATGTGTATATTTGTTTGTTTGATTGTTGTTTAAGGTCTGTCTAGAGTATTTTTCACTCATATGGCATCTTCGCTATTCTAGGGGAGCGGATCGAACCGAAAACTCTTGATTAGTGAAGATTCGGGCGATTGTATGTATTAAAAAAATTAACGAAACTGCTACGTTTGCATCACAAAAACATAGCATTCTGGACATCGTTATGTTTATTTCTGCTCATAATTACACGGTAGACATGTCTGTCTTTCTTCCTATTTAATTTTAAAAAAAATTAAAGAGAAACTAACCAACCAACAGACTCGAAAATTACACCGGAACAATGATTTTCTTTTCATTGTAAATAAAGCAATTTCTATTTCTTAGATACCCAAAAAAACTTACCTCTTTCCAACCTTTTCGCATCAATGAATTTTATTGTTCCCGGTAACTTCCTGATAAATTTGTGTACTGATTCTTCACTCTTAAGATAAAATAAATTCAAATTAAAACGTTCTTTCCTGACATCTGATAGTTCTGTACTAGCTGGTTCCGCCATCCTTAACAATTCCCCAATTTTATGATAACTGTTTGGGCATTTTTGGAAAAAGCAGTTTTTGTTTAAATATAAATTACTGAGAATTTAAAGAGAAACTAAACTGAAGACTAAGTATATTGTATGTAATGTTTATAACGTTAAATTAAATGAGGGCATGACAGGAGACCGACAATGAATTATGGTATTTCAAACAATTATCATTTGATCTTAGGTTTAAATAGACAAGACCCGCTATAGGTTAACATTTTGCGCAACAGACTTTTATAGTCCTGAAGCACCCATGGTGAACAGTTGTTTATTCCTGTATCGAACACAGGTGCTTGAGGATAGCACCCCCCACCCACGATCCCCGGGATAAAGACCATCGGCCATTTTTAACTTTCATCTCAAAAATAATATATGGAAAACACATTAGTGATATTATCTTTACTAACAATTCGAAAATTTACCTAAAAAAACATTTTATGATTTTTTTTACCCCGCTTAACATATTTTTCTACTTACTGTGAAATCACTAATTTTCGTGGGGGTTCAATTTTTGTGGTTTTCAAGGTATGAAGAGACCCACGAATTTATGTCCAACACAAAATGCAATTTCTCACATATATTACTACTGATCCATTCTTCATCCTCGAAATGAAATCCCCAAGAAACAATAAATATTCCTCAAACCACGAAAATTTGATCCCTCGAAAATATGTGATTTTACAGTATTGATTTATGTATAGAGAGTGGGGTATATTTTGTAAAATATTTATTTTAGGTAAATTTTCAAATTGTTGGTCACAAGTATGTTATTGAATAATAACTTTTGAGGAAAAAATCAAAAAGGCCCTGGGGTCTAAATCGGAGTTCATCAACCTGCAGGTTGCTGCCTGTCAATATCATTTTGTAAATAGAGATACAAAAAGTCTGTTGACAAAACTCTCCGCCCCCCAGTTTTAACACGGCAGTAGTGGGTGCTTCACTTCTCTCTGATCAAGTTATCCTTCTTCCATCAAGTATACTATCGCATGCTTCAGCGTGGAGAAAGTGTTCAAAAACGCCGAGTAAAATAAAATTTCTATTAGTTTAGGTGCACATTACATGAATGTTCAAATATAGCTGGTAATCTTACTCATTCTGCATACTTTGTCTTTGATGTCTGATCAGAAATAGACTTCAGCACGGATATGTAATGCATTGACCGATTATTGAAATAATTAATCACACATTTACGTATATAGAATTGTTCACTGTATTTATATGACTCCTACAACTTCGATTTACATTGATAATATTTAATTATAATCTTTCCAGTACTATACATTGTTAAATATATATCAATTTATGACTAGTAGTAATTACAACCCTTTTCTTTTCTCGGGTGGGGGTGTTTCACACATATAGAAAACTACGTCATGTACCCGGTGTGTGTCAAGTACATTGCACTACGAAAGAAACGAAGACATGTATACATATCACGAGAAAGTACTTTCACTACAAAAGAAAGGTAGACATATATACATATCATTAGAAATAAGTCTCTTTCACATTGTATTATTAAGATAAATTATTATTTCGTCTTTAATAACAAAATGCTTATCTAACAAAGAAAATGGAAAGAAAATGGATTAGGAACACGGGGTCTGAAAAAAGAGAGATTCGAAAGATGGGGACTAATAAAAGAGGAATTTGGAACACGGGAACTACGAAAAGAGGGATTTAAAACACGGGGACTGAGATAAGAGGGATTTGGAAATTGGGGACTGAGGGAAGAAGGAATCGGAAAATGGGGACTAAGAAAAGGGACTGAGAAACAAGAGGACTGAGAAAAGAGGGATTCATAACACGGGGACTGAGAAAAGACGGCTTCGTAACACGGGGACTACGAAGAGAGGGATTCATAACACAAGGATTGAGGAAAGAGGGATTTGGAACCCGGGGACTAAAAAAGACGGAGACTCAGAACACGGAGACTGAGAAAACAGGGATTCATAGCACGGGGACTGAGAAAAGAGGGATTCATAGCACGGGGACTGAGAAAAGAGGGATTCATAGCACGGGGACTGAGAAAAGAGGGCTTCGGAACACAGAGACAAGGAAAAGGAGGACAAGAGAATGAAGCCTAAAACCAGGAGAATCAGACTTGTTGAAAAATATCGTTATGTAATGACTGAGAAGAGGGATTCGGAACCCATGGACTGAAAAAATGGGGGATTCGGAACACAGGGACCAGAAACAGAACGACAAGAGAAGGGAGACTAAGAGCTTGAAGAATCAGACTGGTTGTAAAATATCGTTATGTTTTAAGTATTTACTTTGAAAATTTTATACACATCATTTGTTTTATATGTTTTATATTTTTCATTCACCTCCACCATGTTTATCAAAATTTATATTAAAACGCCTTATTTATTGTGTATTAGTTGTGATTAATATGCTGATTGGACAAGTAACAGGGAAATGAACACGTTTTAAGTTGATACAGATTAAAACATATTGTGAAACTTCATATTATCTATATTGAATAGAGAACATCTAGCCTGTTCTATATAACATTTACAATTTGGTTGATATGCCTTTGCCTGTCCGATTATCATCTGTATATACATATGTATGTAAACGCTTTCTGGCAACATCTGTCTCTGTACATCTAGATTATTTAAGTGTTTACTAAAACTCGTAAATAAGAAATTCAATCTTACATCCTACAAAAAGATAATGAATCCTTCCTCACAATTAATTCATATCAAGCATTTTCATAAATTAGAGAACTGCTTCTTTAAACAATATTAAAATGAAACTCAAACATCTTGTTTATCTTGCGATTAGTCTTTCACAAATTCTCTGTTTAAATGATAAATCATTGTGAATTTCAAACAGAAGTAGTGCAGGTTGAAAAAATGTTGCCGGAGCTCCAAAATTGACTGGCTTTCTTTCCATTACCAAGCCCAAAATAATGGTGTTTTTCAGTTTCATAACATAAGCTTTCTTGATCGAATTGACTCTACCATATTTAAGCCATGAAATGTTTAAGCCATATTCATGCTTAATTGCCTTCGTTTTTTTTTTCGTTTACCAACCGTTCACGATAAGGACACACGGCGGATGAGACCGGTCGACAGGGTATGTTTTCTTCTCCATGGCACCCGATTCCACCTTTGATTGTGTTCGACTCAGTATTTTTTTTTTTTTTTTTTTTGGCGTTGAAGCAGGATCCATGCTCATAATCTTAATATTTCAAAAAATAAAATCTGCATGGAAAGAAAAAAAACTTAAAATATATTTTATCATAATGATTTAATAATCAACAATATTCATTTTAAGTTACAAGTGTTCTCAATTTACATGTATATCCATATGAACTCAAAGAGAAATCACAAAGTCTGAACATTACATCTGTTTCGTGTTTAGCTGTTTTACTGTTTACGATGATTATGGCAGATTAACAAAACAGGTATTTTAAAAATGGATGATTTCAGCTTTTCCATCAACATACCATATTTTGTAGCATTATCCAATAGGTATCTCTGCCTCCAAACGAATTGATACGCAAAACATGTAAAGGACAGATGATACAAACAATTGTTTTCCTTGGGGGAGACATAATACCATGTCACAGATTTAGAAAAATAGATAATTCTTAGAATTTTTTCCTCCTAAGACTTGGAAAATGAATTAGACTTAGAAAACATTAGTAATATTTCAATAAAATAACAAATGTGGACAAATCAAACTTAGTAAAGGTTTACAGGCGAAAACAATTTTTAGAATATGTTAGTTTGGTGCTGAAAGTGTAATATAAACTTTTTCAAAAATAGACCAAGCCAGGTGAATTTTATGAGAAACAAAATGACAAAATATCAGAAAAAATCACATACGATTAACAAATTGCTATATAAATAATATAATAAGCTGTAAAATTTTCAAAGCCATCCCATTTTTCCGGAGGTTTAGTCTTTAGTATCACATGAATTATGCCTAGAAGAGTATTCAGACATAACGCAGATGTGTAAGACTTTTATCTACTTTTTTTTTTTTACTTTTACTCATTTTCGATCGGATATATCAAATCTAATTCGTAATGAAAATAAATATATTAAAATTAATTCAGAACAAGTCGTCGATTTATCTTAAACTCTAAAATGAATGCCGCAAAAGAGACGTTTTCTTCATGTAACTAGTATACGTATCATGGGACACCATTAATACTAATGAGAAATCCAAAGGATTATTTAAGACTTGATATCAATATTCTTAACAGCTATTAATTAAAGCCCAGGATTTTTTAAATGTTAGACAGATAAATACAAATGGATCTTATATTTATTCTTATTTTATCATTGGTCATTCGCAAAATTATTTTGTTAAGAATATTTTGATTGTACACACAAGTACTTTAAAGTTGATATTAAAAGATTCTAGAGTTTCTTGGAATTTTCATGGGTATTAATTGCGCACCGCTGTTAGAAGACCTTTTTGTATTCATTTGAAGCAGAATTTTTCAAACACTTCTACACGAGAATAAGAAAATGCTGCTGTGGTATACAATTCAACGTTGAGATATATCGACGATGTATTTTCAAGAAATACATGTAATAGTTACTTCCATATTTCCTAGTGAACTTCAACTAAAAGATATCACAGAGTCTGATATACATCTGTTTTATAATTGCATATTTTACTACAAAAACGTTAATGGTAACCTAACAACAAAGCTGTATGATAAGTTGATGCCTTTTTAATCGTCAACTTCCCTCTCTTCTGTAGCACTATACACATGTACCTAGAACACGTCATATGTGATGTTTATGTCTCAAATTATTCGATACGCAGGATCATACTCTACGAAGGAACAATCTCTTAAACCAAGCAAGCTATTGGAAAACAGATTTATAAAACAGGGGTATTAACAGTATTGATTTTAGTCATCGATTTGCAAATTTTTGATTGATGCAAGCGATGCCATTGTCAGGAAATACAACCTATCTTTGAGCCGAATGCTGACGGACGTTTTTCGAACTAAT